TTGTGACCTAGGTGTCCCAAATTCCTACTTGTCTAACTGATAAATAATAATTATCTTTGTTCATTTACTGTTATGTACATAATGATACATTCAGATAAATGCAATTTTCAACACATAACATCCAATTTTTTTGCAGTGGTCTTGAGAGCTCGTCTCCCTGAGGATGCTTATGCATCAAGTCAACAGTAACGAGAAGATTTCTTATTTTTTTTTTTTTCTGTCTGAGCGTAGGTTTTGTCCCTCTAGAATAGTCTAAAAGTCTGGATTAATAATTTTTGGTGCAATAAAAAAAACTCTTCCACCATTTTTTTTTTTTTCTTTTTATTTTTTTTTTTTTTTTTTTTTTTCAATCTTCTGTATGGCTGTAGCTTACTATTCATTATTGCAGTGTTTCTGCCAGGGGCAAAACAAAAAAAAAAATCCTGCCCATACAGAAATATTCATGGGAAAGCTCTCTAAACCCGTAGGGAATCAAACAGCGCCTGGGAATGATGGTAATCAGGCAGATCAAGAGCCCTTTACCTTCCACGAGCCGCGTATGCAACCATACCTCTACACCGCCACGTGCTACAGTGACTGTCAAAATATCATGAGAACCAATTGTTATGCATTTTGGATCTATACACGTATCAGCGACAGGTTTAATGATTGTTCACGTAGTTAGTTTAACCATCGTTTCAAGCATCTGTGATTGCCATCCCGGATTCAATGCGCTAGTTAAAGGCTGGGCGAGAAACCCTAACTAGACAAATGTATAAATATCAAGCGAGAGGTATACTGCACAAAAATACTGTAGCGGCGGAAGATGTACACAAATCCATCGTAAGATACACCAATATGTCTGATTAATTATTGATTAACAACACGACATGGGTAAGGAAACATGCAGTTAATGATATTCACTTCAGCTACGTAAAATTGCACATGTGAAGATATACATCACTGAAATGTCAATCTCTCAATGTATATTATACACCTAAATGTCGATATCTCTCAAGAAATATACATCCAGATGTTTATATCTTGTATATACACCAAAATACTATCATTATAAATAACCGATACTTTTATATCAACAGTATATTATTGCAAAATTGTCTATGATAATGTATATAGGATCGATAGCTGTATATCTTACGTATATATCTTATCATTAAGCAGACAGGGAATATGCAGCCTAAAAGAGACCTTTCGCGTAGTCGACACTCCAACCAAGGTAAACAGTCAGACGAGTCAGCCGGCTAGTGAGGAGGTGAGAGACGACGGTATAAGAAAAAACAAGCCAAGGACTCACTAAGACGTGATTCCTGTGCCTCGTTGCGCTGACATACAATGTCGGTGAGAATAATGCCCTAGGAAGTGATGTGTATGAAATAAGTGAAACACACCCACGTGACAGCCAATGCGTGAAGTGTAATGACAATGATACCGACGTCTGTGCCTGGGTAGTGATGCGGTTCAACAAGTATGATGTGACTAAAGTGTAACGATGGTTTATACCTTTCGCTAAACATACGAACACTTCCAAGGTGGGTCTTAAGTTTTCTCACGCTGGTATTTTGCCCAGGATATGATTTAGCATGTCTGGTGTTTCAAACATATTTGTTATACAATTTTTTTTCTCTTTTCGTGCTCCCCATAAGTCGACTAATACACAGATTCTTATATTTACTGCAAAGTGGACAGGATGAGTTAAATGAAACAAGGGATAAATAGTGTTATACAAGATGAAATAAATGGGAGTTGTGAATTACCTGCATGAATGTATTACAGGATAATTAGACCTTGAAATATTACAATATAAGTAATTTGGGTGAGAAAGTATGGACTTAGTCCCAGCTAGTAGGTCACACGACATTAACTCCTTCGATGCCCACCAGTCCCTTCACCACTCACAAAAAGCTTAACCTTAGAACTTTAAATTAATAATTTATACTTATAAAAATCAGGTTATAGCGCAAAACCCGTTGATTATCACAGCGCAAGTGGGGGGATGGAGTATTTCGGCGGAGTTCAGGGAACCACGAGTACAGATCCAATTTACCTAGATCAAGAGCGCCCTCCCCGGCGTCAAGGAAACCTCCCTTGAGGGAATTAATAATTACAGTATTAAGCATTAATACCAATAATGGTAAATTATAAAAGTGTGGACTGTATGAAAATTAAAGGAAACAATCTCCAGAAAGGATTAGTGGGAACACTAATACACACACAGTAAGAATTTTCTAATTGACACTCGCCCCTATTCTGTTCCTCATTCTCTTATCAGACAGACAGAGATGTAAAGCATAGCACTGTATCATCCTTTGCAGATGATACTAGTATCTGCATGAGAGTGCAATCCATTAAGGACAATGCAAATCTCCAAGAAGATATAAACCAAGTTTTCCAATGGGTAACGGAGAACAATATGATGTTCAATGAAGACACATTCCTACTATTCCGTTATGGAAAACTGAAGGAAATAATAATTAGGACTGAGTATACCACAAACTCTAATCACAAACATATAATGGAAAAGTAATGTGAAAGACCTTGGGTGTGGTAATGTCCGCGCAACCACACCTTCAAGTACCACAACCATGCCCAACTATTCACCATCGTGCGATGAACTGAGAGGATGGATAAAGATAACATACAAGACAAGAGAGCTAAGCCAATGATGATCCTTTTAAATCACTTGTTCACTCTAGGCTGGAATCTGCAGAACAATTAACTTCCCATACAAGAACAGGTGAAATATCGGATCTAAGAATGTACAGAGAACCTTTCTAAACTGTAGTCGTATACGTTCCATCAAACACCTTAACTACTGGGATGCCCTGGAAGCACTCGACTTTACACTACTGGTACGCAGGTCGAGAGAGATAAATCATGAAACCTACACCTGTGAATTTTGGAGGGACTGGTTCCTAACTTCACTACAGAAAATACTCCCCTACAAAAGAAAAAGACTTGGCAGCGATCAACATACCCCCATGAAAAGTAGGCCGCCATTGGTAAAATTAAGAGAAAACACATTAAGTGTCCGGGACACCCAAGACTGTTCAGCAGCCTCCACCAGCCACAAATGGGCATTACCAATAGAACTCCTGTTGTGATGAAATTAAGACACATGGCAACATCTGTGGTAAACTTAATTGGTAGTACGTTTCGCCATCCAGTGTTTTAACAATACAAATTCTAGGACATAACTTGAAGACAGTATAACTATGTACGGAAGATGAGGTTAATCAGTCCCTCAACCTAGTAGTAGGTGCGAAGAGCACCGTAGACGTGGAGATACTGAATCTCCACGACTATGGTGCTCTTCGCACCTACTCCTAGGTTGATAGGACAGATTATCTCATCTTTTGTATATCGTTCTACTGTCTTCTATTATATCCTAGAATATGTATTGATAAAAGCCACTGGATGGAGAAAAACGTCTACAATAAAGATACCCAGATGATGCACATGTGTCTTAATTACCATCTGTCGGTATTATATACCATTCGTACAACCTCCTGGTGTCTTCAAGATGGGAGGCTGGACAGATACCTAAAGTCATTGCCTGCCGGATCAGCCGGGCTGTGGTTCGTATGTCGGACTACGTGCGCCCAGCAGTAACCGCTCGTTGATCATGGCCCCTGAACCACCAGGAAGCCTGATCGATAACCTTTGCCATGGGGGCGTTGATCCCCGGATTCCTCCAGGTAGATAGCACATTGAGGTACTACAAGTTAGATAATTAAGAAATTTATATGACCACTTACATCAGGAATAAATAAAAGGGGATTAAAATAGTGTGCTGACAATTATCAGCCTAGACAGGAAATCGCAAGCAATGGTTTAGTTGGAAAAATTCAATCAGGAAAGGATATAAGGAAAGTACTGGTTGGTAACAGAGTTTGTGGATGAGTGGAACAAACTCCCGAGTACAGTTTTAATAGAGTCCAGAACGTGTGTACTTTAACAATAGGTTTGGATAAATACATGAGTGATGTGGGTGTGTGAGGAGTTGACCTGATTGCTGAGCTACCAGGGATCGGTTGCCGGTGTTTCCTCCCTTAAGTCAATGTGACGCTGACCTGACTAGGTTGGTCATTGCTTAAGCGGTAGGAGACCTTGGACCTCCTCGCATGGGCCCATTAGGCCGTCCTGCAGTGTTCCTTCGTTCTTATGTTCTTATGTTCTTATTGTAGTTGGATCACACCTCAACACCTACCTAACAAATAGAATCCTACAAACCGGCCGTCCCATTAATTTCCATCATCATCACGTTAAATCTTGAGGCCCAGCAAATTTCCTGTCCTTATTCATCAGCAGGGGACCTTATATGGGTTTCCTATTAAAATTCGGCCGAAACACCCCCATATGGCCTCGATGACGTCTGGGACGTCGATTATTAGACGAATGTAACCACAGCCCCAGTGCTCACACGTTAATTCTTGGCGTTCCCTCTTTGCACACCCTCCTTCGACAAAATTTCCCTTGAAGCGGTCAAATCTCGTCACAATTTAAAATCACACAATTAATTATATTAATTCATATTTTTACACATAGGCCCCCTTTTTTAGTAAAAATTTTTTTTTTTTTTTAGGAAACTAAAAAAAAAATCCACAGAGAGATTATATTCATTAAATGCGGCGTTCTGGTCATTTACTGAAATAAATTATTACATCGATAAAATTTACACTTGGAACTGGCTATCCCAAATGTAAGTATTGTGCCTAGTTGCAACCTTGGGTAATCTCTCCACATACGTAGTGCTTATTAGGGAGGGGGTGGAGAAGGGGAAGGGGAAACATCACATTACATTCGGGCCTGGGGAGGGGAGGAGGACTGCAACATTATCTTGTGCCTCCACACACGTTTAACTCGAGCCTGAAGGAGGATGGGGGGTGAAGACCTGCAATATTGAGAGGTACTAGGGGTTCGCTGACAACGTGGCAACTTCGGTCCCTCGGGGAAAGAAGGGAAGGGGATGGTGGAGAGAACGGCAACATCTTGGTACTCACGCTCGACACACGTGGTAGTCTGGTATTAATATACACCGAAACACCTTCGTTATCTTCAACTTCATGTCCCAGCTATTTTTCTCAGATCTGAAATAGTGAATGAAGTGTTAAGTGTTGATTTCATTAACATAGTAATTAATGAAATATTAATAATTGGCAAGTATATACGATGAGGACGACAAAATGATACTTAGGGTCCCCTTCAGGGGGGAAAGGATTCCTTTATATAGTGAAGGGTTTCTTGATCTCTTGATCAAACATGATTAATCCCCATTCTTTATGGGGCTGCTATATCTCCACGTGTCTACGCTCCCTCCCCCCATGGCAATAATAGTAATTATTTTTATTATTTATGGAGGTCAATACTGCGGCTTGGAAAAACAAAGAGTTAAATTAGGTTTGATCCACTGAGAAGAGAGTGCAGTAAAATTCCTCTTGAAATAAGGCCCTTCACCACACACTATTGCTGTATGACTCTTGTAGTGTTTAGCGCTTCTTTTTTATTCAATAATAATTCGAACCGGTAACAAGTACCCTCACCATCTTGAAGGATATTTCTGGATTATTAATGTCAGAAAACTTCTCACTAAAGAATGGTATAAGAAAAACCTCTTAAGTCATTACAAAAATGTCATAAAGACGAGTCTTGATCAGTCGATTTTGTTGTTAACGCAGAAGAAAAGACAACATATATGTCCACATTTCGTGATGTCCGCTAGAAAGTTATCATAGTGCTTTAACATATACGACAATATGTTGGCACATCCTTCCCCCCTCCCCTTTAAATTAGTATAATAGTTTTGCTATACTCGCTTTACCCATCCAGTATATGGTAGGTTGGTCAAAATGATTCGAGAGGCGCACACAGTCCAAGAACTGGACCTCCAAATTTTGATAGCTAAAGAAGTTACAGTAGTGAACAATTTACATGTTTGAGGAAGACTGAGGAAAACCATTGCCAAAAAAAAAAAAAGCCCTCCCTACACTGAATCGGTAGTGATAAAGCTTGTAATATCCTACATAACACAGTAATCTATGTCGTTGCAATACCTTATCAACAACCACCTACCATGCTAATTAGGCTCGCTTGGCAGAGTTATTATTGATGATATTTTACTATATGTAGTATGAGACACAAGTATTTTAATATATAAACCACTCAGGGAGGGTCCTTGATGTCGGCGATACGGGCTCTTGAATGCTAGGAATTTGAGCGTATCCTTCCCTTCTTGGAATCACAAGCCTGATTGCCGTCTATTCCCTAAAGCTCCGTATCACTCCAACGGGTTTAGCTCTGTCTAAATGTAAAAATTTATACATAATCTTGAATTAAAACGAGAGCAGGTAGATTTCTATGAATAATTAAAAAACCACATATCGCAAGGTCACACATTATCAGAAGAGAACAATGAATATATAAACTCATGTTTTCATGCTTATCAGTGTGAGTCTAACGAAGTTAGTGAGCGACATATCATTCTTCCAGTTTCATTGTCGTTGTCATAAGTCTAGTTGTACATTAAATATCAATCTTATAATCATTATGTACACTCAGAAAATCCTAGTTTGTAAAATTACTTCACATCCTATGATTACAGACATAGATCCTGATGTAAACATTTAACAAAATGAATTACACGAATCAACCAGTAACAGAAATTACTACACAGTCAACCAAGCAAAGACATTACACAGATGGCAAACAATAACATAGACCATCTTTAACTCCCAATGTCAGATGGCCGTGATTCAAACATTATGGATGTACCTCACAAGAATTACTCAGTTCCCTTATTCCAATATCTCAATCATCAGACACCATAAACCAGCTTAAAGCCTGATATTAACAGATTACATATACCATTCCTAGCTACATGGCCATACACAACTGTAGAACAGACTCAGCAAGGTGGAGGAATCAGCTGTCTACTATCAAATCACTCGAATGTATCAATAAATCTTGCACAAAGTGGAAGAAAAAGGGAATATATCATAGCCCAATTAAATCAAAAGACCTGGCAAAAACCTCTCACATTTATAAACATCTTTACAGAGTACACAGTCAAACATTTATCACTTTAGTGAAAAACTAGGAACAGATTACAGATAGCACACAAGAATAAAGACCACCTGCTACTACAGATTTCAACATAAAACATACTAACAACTACCAGGACCCCCAAGTTACCCGAATTCACAACACAATGAGTAACTGCCTGATGCTACCAGGCAATATCTAAAACTACAATAATGAAACATATAGAATGGGTCAAATACTAGAGAACAGTCGAGAAAATTACCATCGTCAGCACTAACCAGCCTATATGGTTCAAAAAAATTTGTATTATGAAAATAGAATACATAACATCAAAGTGAATGAAAAAAAAAAACTGAAAACTCTATCTGGAAATTCTTGAACTAAGAAGTTAACCAAAAACAAAGCAATCAAACAAACAAAAGTCAATGAACCCCTACTCACGTCCAACCGAAACACAACAGACTTAATGTTTTTCTTCTCCCGTCCATAGGAAAAAATCTAGCAAACAAAATACCAAGTACCAAAACGCCCGTCCATCAGACTACCCTCAAAGAAACCTAACCCAAAAATCGCTATTTCCTAGCTCCAACCAACCCATTGAATTACGCTCAATCATAAACAACTCTTAAAAACAAGGCAGAGACATAAACATCTTGCCTGCTTTTATGTACAAGAAAAAGCTTCTACAAAGTATTGTAACCAAATTATTGCAAACACAACCTTATAACAAATCCATTGAAACCTCCACCTTCCCTACAGTACTCAAAAAGCAAGGGTCACCCCGATCCACAAAGGAGACCAAACAGAGTTGAATAACAAATAGGCCAATATCCAACTTACACCCTCTGTCAAAAATTTTTCGAAAAATTAATTCATAAACGAATCTACTCCTACCTTATCTCCCAAAACATACTCAACCCCTGCCAATTTGGATTCAGGCCTAATAAAAATACTAATGATGCTATTATACACATGCTAGAACATATATACACTGCAATAGAGAAAAAAGAAGTCCCACTGGGGATCTTCATTGACTTACGTAAAGCTTTTGATACAGTTGACCATGACTTGCTCCACGTAAAATTGTCACACTATGGTATAAGAGGGCACTCCCTCAACTACCTCAAGTCATAAACCCCAGCAACAGAAGCCAATATGTGTACGCAAATGGGGCAAACTCTTCTGTGCAACCAATTACAGTTTGGGGTCCCACAGGGAAGTGTCCTTGGCCCTCTTCTCTTTCTCCTATACATAAATGACCTTCCAAATGCTTCGCAATTACTCAAACCCACACTTTTTGCAGATGACACTACATCGTTTTCTCTCACCGAGCCCAGTCACGCTAGCCAATACGTAAATACCAAATTTACAGAAAATATCTACCTGGACCGAGGACTAACAAACTTACACTAAACATTGCAAAACCTACTTATTCAGTTTGGAACAGAGCTACAGATGTCCCTTTTAAAGGGATAATGATAAACGGATCACCTATCACAAACAAACCCAGAGAAGAAAATTTTAGGAATCCACCTTTGATAATAGACTCAAATTTCATACACAATAAACAAATTTCTAGAAAATTTCAAGACTGAGGCATACTATCGAAGATACGGTACTATGTCCAAAAGTCAGCCCTCCTGGCCCTATATCATCTCTTATTTACCCCTATCTCACCTATGGAATTTGTGCATGGGCTCAACAACAATTAACCATCTAGACCACTAATTACCAAATGCATCATTCGTCTCTCAGCCATTGAGTAGAGAGGACGTGTTCTACACTGCTCCCCTCTATAGCTGTTCGGTGCATTTCATTTTCTCAACATGGCGCAGGCAGCCGGGACGCCGCGCACACTGTGTGTTTGGAATTAACTCGGGGGCAGTGCTTGGCCCAAAATGGCGATTTATTGCCGCGATAATCGAACACCTATGGTAATCGCCAACGGTTTTGCGGTGTACATGAATGGTGTGACAAGAATCTTTGTAAAGTTACTCAGCTCAAGTTTAGGAGAATGTCGTCGACAAGTATCAAGAGGTAAATCTGGGGGGTTAACCAGGCTGTGTCTGTGAAGCTTACACGATGTATCCCGCCATTATACATGGGTAAAGTGAAAAATGACCTTTGGGCTGATGGATGATATCTGCTGCCCAGGTAATTACGGCACCATAACATGGCTACAGCAGGGAGGTGGCTAAAGGGCCTATGAAGGACACCTGAGGGAATTTTTCGGTAAAAAGACATTACGACATCCAATCCCTCATATGTGATCCTGGAAAGGGACTTCGGACTCAAGTTTTTGGACTATGCAGGCAACGCCGCACTTGTGGTTGTGTGGAGCATACGATCATTTGGCGTGCAGTGTGAAAGGAGACGAGTGCCGGGTTGTACACATAGGCAAGGATTTAGGGGAGGAGGATGGCAAGAGTGCCTGAACCCGCCTGTGCAACCCTAAAGATTGTCTGGAGCGAAGGGGTTTGAGAGGCTCTGAACAGGGTGGTACTACACTCCGGAAGGGGTCGCCCTTTGGAGCAGCCCCAGGGGTGGAAACGGCTTCGGGGAGAAGCAGCCAATTGATGGAAGACATCCAGTCTCTGTGTTAGACGAATTATTTACGGAGGGCAGCATGAGCCCTGCGACGGCACCACCCTAGATTGGGACGGGCTGCGACGGGGGAAACGTGGACACGACGTGCAGCGGGTAGTGACCCACGACCCCTTGAGGAAACAAAGGGTTGGAGGGGAAATTCACCAGATGCATGTGGACGACGAAATGCAGGTAAAAGTGTAACACAAAAGGGCGCTCTGTTACACTTTCAGATTCTGATGATTTTGTTAACGCCAGGCCCAAAATCAGGGAAGAAATCTGGGGTGTGGCACAGAAAGGGTCCTGTGTACCAAAGCACAGGGGAGGATCAGGAGTGCTTCAAAAGGAGGGGAAGGGAAAATTGGAAAAAAAATCTAGTGAAAACATTCGGCGAAAGGAAAACCATCATGTCGATTTTAAGTGCTCACAATAACTTTAAAGGTTGCGAACTGTACGAAAGTGT